ATATGAACTGGGATTAACACCATATGAGAATCATATTGATAATTATTCGGATTACAGTCATGCAGAAATATTAAATTTACAGGAATTTTTAAAAGAACTTCAACATCAAATGTAAGTAATTCAAATATTATTTAAATATTTTAATTTGAGATTTAATTATAATAACTGATTTAAGTTATTAATAAAAATATTTAATATTAATAACTTGAAGTGTTTAATTTATGTTTTCTAAATATTTATAAATTTTCCAATAATTTTTATTAAAAAAAATTTTTAAATTAAAAGCAATTTATTAAATCAGTAAAAAATAAATTTTTCTTTCATTTTTCAGGCAATACGGAAACGGAAATCGGCCACATTTTAAAATAAGTTTATTTATTTTAATAAGTAGTATAGGTTTCATAATATCAAAATTTGTAACTTATATTTAATATTTTTTACACATTTTATTAATATTTGTTTTCAGTTATTCTTTATTAAATAAAATAAATTATAAGCAGAAAAAAAAAATATTGAACATTTTAACTTTTTTCTTCTCAATTTTTTTTATCATTATATACTCCCACCTTTTAGACTCGCACCTTTATATATAAGATAAAACAACATCATAAGATGGAACAAGTTTGAAAAAAAGCCAAAATATCAATATCAATAAAAATTAATTACATATAATAATTTATTATAAATAAAAGGTCAACTTTTTAAATTTTAATCTTTCTTAATATCGTAAAAACAAATTAATATAATAAATGTGTTAAGATAAGCTACTTGTACTAAATTTATTCCAGAAATATTTACGCTTATAGACGTAATAATAATAATAATAATAATAATAATAATAATAATAATAATAATAATGATGCACACACAAATTTTTGACCTACACTTTTAATAGGTTTGTTTTTTTACAAAAAAAAAAAAAATTTACATAAAAAATTTATGTAAATTTTCGCAAAAAAACAAAACAAAATCGTTCTTGTACTTAAAAATAATAATTTTTGGCTATGAAAACAGAAAATCAAAAAAAAAAAGAAATGAAAAATAAGAAAAAAATATTGTGCTGTTTCCCTTTAATAAATTTTTTTTATATAAATAATATTTTTACCAATTGCATTGCATACAAATACAGGAGGTTGTGTGATAGCACAAAATTTCGCATATTAAGTTGTCGACGAAAATAAAATATTTCTAGAGAGATGTCTATTTGTCGGTCTACAGTCTGTCAGTCTATTTCTCTCAGATTTGTATCTCAAGTTCGACTGAACCGATTTTCGTCAACATTTATACATAAGATTACTTTGGTTTTTTGATCAAGTTATAGCATAATATGTCAAATCTCGGAAACTGGATCGTTATATTTTTGACAATTTTTAAGAAAATAATCAACAGATTAACTTGAATCTGGCGCATATAAAGAGAAATAATCAATAAATTTCTTTAAAATTTGATATTTTAACTAAATCTACTAAAACAATGATCAGTTAATTGATGCACACTGGTTTTACATTTTTCACAATATCTTACAATTTTAGGTATCTGTTTGCTACCGGAAAATTCGAATACATAGTATAAAGTTAACCTATTCTTAGAGCAAAATTTTTATTTTTCTAAGCATGTTAATTAAAAGCTTAGTCGCATCCTTAAAATTTGAAATAAATGTTGGAAGGATATTTTGATAATCTTTATCATATGCTATGATGGCACAGACCATGAAGCCTTTATCTGGAATCACCTTTTCGCTACAATTTCCAAAAGATTAAATAAATAAAAAGTATACAAATAAATGATTTAGATATTGTACCTTAATATAAATTATTAATATTTATGCAAATAAAAATAGTAATTTTTAGCAATTGATTCAAATTTAAACATAGAAATATTGTAGATTTTAAATGTTAAAATTATAGTTTATCCAAATAGGTGACCTTTTAATTTAAAGTGTTTCTTGGAATTTTTAAATATTGTAATTCCAGAAATATTTGTAGAAATTCTACATACATAAATTCTAAATTTATTTCATTAATCTGTTAAATAGTAAATCAAATTAAATAAAAAAAATTTATTTTCACTTGTTTTGATCTACAGTATATAAATTTTTACATTATTAATTTTTGCTTTAGTTTTACCCATGTAAAAGCTTTTATCTAATAAATCATATAGTTTTGTTACAAAATTTTGGATTATCAATTTTTTAATTCTTAAATTTAACATGTTGGTATAGGAAAATTTAAAAAAAAACCTAATATATGACATGTATTGCAAACTTATATACTAAATCTTAATACTAACTTATTATCTAAATTATTATTAAATTTAAACTTTTATTTGTAAATTTTTTAATTAGAAATACTATAAATACTAAGTACATCATTCACAAATTATGTTATTCGGCTTTGGCAACTTGTGTATGTTATTCGGCTTGTGTTATGTTATTCGGCTTTGGCATGTTTTATACGAAATGAGTTATTATTATATGTATTTTTGCCTAAAGTAAATCAAATTACAATTTTAACAGATTAGTGTAAATTATTCATTAGACCCCTAGTAGATATGCAATGATGCAAAATAAGATTTTTAAAATTTAATTAATTAGAACTTTATTTAAGTGTGCACATCTGAATAAATTATTGAAAATCCCCCAAACTATGTACGTATGCATATTATGTACGCTGCTTACCTGACATTATTTACACATATACTATATTAATAAATGAAATAATTTTGGAAACCAGTTATAAAAATGACAACAAAAAAAAACATCTTATCCAATTTATTTATTTATTTTTTGTATCCTCATAATTTAAAAATAATTAATCAACATTTTTATTTTATACCAAATGAATTTTTAATTTTAAATTTTTTAATGAATTCTAAATAAATTTTATATGTTAATTAATACAAAATATTTATTATATAATTAAATTATAAAGACGATTTTTTAACAGTAGCGCGACATCAGACTTAATAAGTATTATAAAACTGTATAACAGTATCAAGATTTTATGTATGAATGTGTTTGTATAAAATTATTTGTGATTTTCATCGAACCAAATAACCAATTTGAATATTATTTAAATTATTATTTTTTGATTATTGTACGCTTACAGGTAAACGTTTTTACAGGTAAATAGCATAATAAAAATATATTATTTACATTTAGTAAGAAAAAGGGGAAAAAAAAAACTATTATATAATTTACATTATTCAACAATATTTTATGAAAAAGACTAAAGTGTCTTATGGAAAAATATTTTTTTTTTTTATTTTCTTTAATACACACTCAAATTTTAATTTGTCTGTTAGAAATAATAAAAAAAATAAAAAAAAAATGTTAATTAAAAATTCAATAATCATTTAAGAAATCAGTTTTAATTGCTTTTTAAATACAAAAAATATGAAAAATGAAAAACTTGTTTTACATCGAAAAATAAATAAATAAATATACATTTTAAATATTAAAAATAAATTTAATATAAAGTTAAACAAAAACAAGAAACCTGATAATAACTCAAAGAGCCGCTTTTTTCTTAAAACAAAAAAAAAATGGTTATTTTTTAAAGAGTTATATTTGAGTTATTCTTTTTTTTTTTTGTGTTGTCGCAAATAATATTGGCATAATAATTTAAAAAAATAACAAGAATCGAATCAACCCCATTTTAATTTTCAAATTATTAATTAAGAACTTTAATATCAAAATATTTTTATTTAACAATAGGATATCACATTAGAATATGCTCATACAGGGCAGTTAATTTCGTGTAGAGGACCTATCCATGCTACATAGTGTTATATGACTTCTTAAATTAATGACATAAAAATATTAATTGATACTCGATTAACTTATGTGTATAACTAAATATAGATCAATTTTTAGAACTCATATAAAACTGGATTTTTTCGCAGAGATGATTTTTTAATTATGAATTTGTTTGGAGAACATTGTTTCCACTTTTCACGAACAACTTAAATTAGGTAGCACATTTCTACCATAGTCACAATACAAATTATGGTAAGAATGTGCCGAAGAATATAGGATGTTACGGCACGCCAACTCTACTTCTAGTTATTTTGGTTTTAGTATTGGTAAGGGCGATCTGAGCGCTTTACCTTCTAGGAATTCAAGTTATGTTTAAATGCTAAGACTTATATAACACTGGTATTGTACTCGTATCTAAACTCTTTTTTGTTTTGCTATTTTTTTTTGTTTTAATCGTAAAACTTAATTCAAAAATAATATCTAAACTAATTTCTTATATATATATATATATCTATCTGATATATATCTGATATATAATTAAAATTATAATATACATATAAAACCGTATTTCATTCATTTATTTCAGTATGGTATAGTTTCGAATTTTATTGTACTCTTTTAAAGGGAGCACGAAGGCAATTTTATAACAATATTGTATACTTTTTAATATAACAATTGTAATATTATTCTCAAAGTATAGAATGATTTTTATGAACAGAAAGCTTTTTTCGATAATTAAAATATGTTATACAAACAGGTTTTAATATTTTTATTTATCATTAAGTGCTATAATCATATATAAAGTGTCTCAATTTACTTACACTCAACTCCTTCCTTTACACGAATATAAATGTTTACACAAACTTGATCAATATACATATATACATATATATTTTAATTTAATTTTAATCTAAGATATTCAGAGCTATACATTATAAACGAAATAATATTTTTAATGTAATAAATTTATTAAAAGTATATGTGTTAATATAAATATTATGTAAATATATTGTACAAAAGTTTCATTAATAAACAATTTAAATCCATTGAATATTTTATATATATATATATTTATATTTATGTTTGCATATTATACACAAGTACGTCACTATCGGCATCTTAGTTATTAGCAATGTCATTACTAAAATATTGTCACCGTTTAAGAAGAAAAACAAAAGAAAAAAAAAATTAATTCAAATTGTATATAAACTGACCACGAAAAGCTTCAAAAACTATTTGCATACAAAATCTTTAACATTTCGGATTAAGGTTATCATTTTTTTTTATTTATTTATTTCTTAACAATTTATTAAATACTTATAATAATAATTAATAAATTTATTAAATAAAAATAATTTATATAATATCTACCTTATCAAATTCAAGGATAAAATAAAAAAATTAAAAAAGTGCCTTAATTGGTTATTTTGCTCGTATCTTAAAGTTAAAAAATATTATTAAATTAATTTAATTATTAAATTATAAAAAATACAATAAAAAATATTGAAAGAAAAAAATTAATGAAAATTCAAAAAAAAATAAATGTAATTAAAATGAAACAATGTTTTAATATTTACAACTACACACATCTGTACATAATATATACAATATAGTATAATTAGTGATTACTGAATATACATTTATATTATAGTGTATATACATAGAAATTAACAATCTATATATATTCTTAATTAATAAACCAATTACAGTTGAAATATTACATAAATTGCAATATAGTGGTGTATAATTATGACTTAATATATATATATATATATATATATGTATATAGATAAAACTAAAATTATGCAACTAAACTAGTAATTACAATTTAATAGTTCTAAACAGTGTGTTTAATCTTTTTTTTATTATTTTTTTAGTTATTATATAATTTTTAATGATGCTTTTTTTTATGTGCTTTAAAAAGTAGCATTTGTTACAAAATTTTACATAATTATTTTTTTTTCAATTACCAATGTACATATATATGTAAATGTTTTGAAATGTACTCGTATTGAAATTATAAAATTGTGTGTAAAATTCTACTTGAATTAAAATCAAATTCTTCAACTAAAAAATTTAAAAATATTCTTATATTTAATAAATATACAATATAAATATTTATTCATTTTTGTACAGTGGAAAAAAAAAATAATATTTTTTTTTTTAAATATTATCAATTATTTAATTTTGTATAGGTAGGGTTCATGATACCAGAATTCGAACACTTAATGATAGTGATTTGTAAAAGAGCATAATATTGACAAAATATGCAATATATCTAGTAAATTTCGCCAATAATCGAATACCAGTTATACCTAAATCAGAACAAAAAGTTTTCTTTTTCCGAATACTAACATTTTTTTTCAAAACTATAAAGTTAAAGTTATTATTCGTAATCCATTTAAATGATTTGAAAAATATTATAAAACACTTTAATAACAAATAAAAAACTAAAACATTAAAAATACCTGCTCCTTACAGTTTTTTTTTTGAATTAACATTCACATTCTCTTAGATGCATCTCTTGAGATGAAGGGGATATTATTCCAAAAGTTTATAATTTTCATTAAAAAAATTACTTTCATTCTATCATTTTGTAATATTCATGTTTCTTAGGTAATTAATTTAAAATTAAGGACAAAAATCAAAAAGAAATTACACATTTTCTAAAATTTAGAGTCCTGTATATTCAAACACAAAAAAAAATCAATTAATTTTATGTTATTCTAAAAAAAGACTACCAAAGAATTAATAAAGAAACTTGTTAAGAAACTTATTTTAATATAATATATTATAGAATTTGAGTAATTTACACACACATGCTTTCATTTAAATATACTATGTATATTTTTGGTAAAACATATACGGAATACGAGCTACTCTATTTTTTTAAGAAACTTTAAATACATCTAAAACCTTAATGCAAAAACATCGTATTTCATTTTGGAAGGCTTTGTTATTTCGATTTTAATGAATTTTTGAAAGAAGACAAAAAATCATCAAAGTATAACATTAAAATAATGTTATATTAGGATTATTTTATATTTTCCTTTTTTTTTCAAGTTTTTTTTATGAAAAAAAAAGTGTTCGAATAATGAAGATGTTCGAAATAATATACCATTACCCTATACCTTAACTTTTAATTGAACATATTTCCTTACTATAAGATTAATTTTTCTATAGCTTTCTAATTTTCTATAATAAATATTTCCTGGTATAATCATTGATAAAATTTGAAAAAATAAATAAAGTTGGAAAAATTTAATTACAAATTAATTTCTCATTAAGTTTGATTATAATTAATTTATAAATATACAGTAATTTTAAATGGAAATAATGTTGAAATTATTAAAATTTAGAGGCTTTCTTATTAATTCAATAAATTTGTTTAAGTAATTTTAGTATGAAACTTCTATTGTTAAATGAACTCTCCTGATATCTTCAGTTTTTCAATGGTTTTATACTCTTGAAGTTGCGAATATCATAATATTTTAAAACTGTATTAAAATTTTATGAATTTAACTAATATACATATAACATATATGACTTTTTTCTAAAATCCACATTAGTAAAACAATTTCTAAAATTTTTTAAGTGGATTTTTTTTAAATTTAATTAAAGTCTAAAAAACGCTTTCATAATCAGACATAAGATCCGTGTTGAGACGGGATACTTGCAATGAAAATTTTGAAATTTCTTTGAAATTCTCCACATTTAGGTTCCACTGTAATGGTATAACTTAAATTATATAGGTAGTATATATTATATTTTATTCACTCTTAAAATTTTGTAGAGCCCTAAAAAAAGGATATAGAAAAATAGTATTGTAAAACTGCAAAAAATGTTATAATGGTGATACTCGATTTTAATAATTCCTATTTTCTTTGCAAAAAAAAAAAACAAAATTCTGATATAAAAATGTATAAAGAGTATTAGCTAGTTCCAATAGTTTATTCCATTCTCATTCGCATTTCTCTTATATGAAATCTAAAAAAACAAAAAAATAAAAACGTTTCATTTGACTTAACGTAGCCCTTCTAAAAAATTTTCAATTTAAAATGCAATTTCTACATAACGCAGCGTTTATACTTCCAAATCGAATATTATTCATGGATTTTATTTAATAAATATATGATATGATTGGTTTTGTATATTGGGAAAAATAAAAGGGCCACCAAATTCTAATTAGAAAAAATCTATGAACAATGTTTAATTTGTAAACATTGACTTAGACAAAATATAATTACAATTCTTATTTCGTAAGTAATAAAATTTTTTTTTGCATAACATATACATATACATTAATTGCGTATATAGAAAAGAATTCCGTATTAAACACAAAAATGTATACTAAAACGTGAATTATTGCAATAAAATAGATTTAAATGTTGATTTCTATTAATTTATTATAGGATCAAAATCTAATTTCAATTACTTAATTGAACATTGCAAATTCATTATAATGCAAATTTTAATTTTACAAATATATTGATTAGTATATTTATTGCAAACAAATAATCAAAATAAAATTAAAATACATAGATGTACATATTACTTTTGAACTTTTGATTGCATTTAATTGATTAGCATTATAAAGATTATTTCAAATAATTTTAAAAAAATTCTTAAACTAATTGAATGGTTTAATATTTACATTGCCTCAGATTTTGAATTTTTGCATTTATCTATGCAAAAAAATGCAAAATATGTAGAATTACATATTTGACACAAAAATTAGCATTCTATAAGTCAAATATTATTTAAGAATGGCCGTCTTGCATTCAAATATTAAAATAACAGTTATTTATCGTTACCACGTTTATGCAAACATCCTATCAATATACATGAGTTTTTTTTTATTTTTCTAAAAATCCTAAAATAGAACTTGATTGATTTGCTTAGTTTTAACGAAGACAGTCTAATTTTTTCAAGCAATACTTTAAAGTTCCCTCACAAAGTTTTCAAATGAATATGAAAAATAAACATTTATTTTACAAATTTAATAAAGTTTCTCTTAATTTTTAAAATCAAGTTAATAAATAATTTAAATCTTAATGCATTAATTATAATAAAACGATCATTAAATCGATATGATTAGTTGCTTATAGTTTTATCTAGTTTTCCAAGTAAAATCTTAATTTTCAAATCACAAAAATTAGAAATTACTGAATTTTTTGCATTATATTATCAACAACTTAATACTCGTATATATGTTAATATCGTAGCCAAATAATTTTAATTAAATTTTTAAAAAGAAACTTTTATAAAGAAAAAACAAATTACAATCAATGGCACATTTGAATTGAAAAAAAAAATAATAAAAACTATAAGAAATTGAAAATTTTAAAAATTAACAAGTAATGAAAATTCACCAAATTTTATAGTAAATGAGGTGTAATTACATACCTTATAAGAATTAAATATGACAACGAAATTTTTGAGCTAAAAATAATTTTTTTTTATTTATTAATTGGCTACTTACTTTATAAGACCACATTGTTGTCAATGGATTAATAAAGGATTTTAATAGAAAAGAAGAATTTTGTACAATCTGAGGTCATGTTACACCAATCACTCTTTACTTTTTTTAATTAATTAATGAAAAAAATTTCCAAAGTTCTTTTACATTAAGAGTCAAAACACTAATGAATATATCTATACTAATAAAAAACGTACTTTTTCTAAAGTTAAAAAATTAAAGCAAGGCCCCAAATTTTATTTTATATTTATTTATCGTTTGGGAATTTTAGATCAATTTTTCAGCTTTCTCATTCTAGAACAGTGAAATAATTTGGGACTAGCAAATTATTAATTTTTAGTACTTTTTAAAGTAATAATAATAAATTTTTACTGGAATGAGAAAAATAATATTAAAAATTATACTAACAATACAGGGTATTTCGTGACAAAGTGCACTGCAATATACAATTTTAAAGTAGACCAAACTTTTGTATGGAGACGACGTTCACAGTTCAACAAATTCGGAATTTTGTTAAGAAACACCTTCTTTAATATTGATATTTTACAAAACTTTGCGCTTTGTTAAGAAAGAGCTTGCATAATACTGATATTTTATTGGAAAAATATTACATTACTGAAAACTGTATCAGATTTTTTATTATTTATCTAACAATACCTATATTAATATTTCAGCTCAATATATCAAAATGATGAAATCAATAGTGTTATTGATGATTTTTGGAAATGTGGCTTTTGGTCAATTTGGTGGATTTGGCGGAGGTGGACGCGGTGGTGGTGGTTTACCATTTGGCAATATAGCTAATGTTGCACAACAACCATTTAATTATTTAAGAAATTTTGTTCCAAATAATTTTGATAAATTCACAGGCATTAATGTTAAAACTTTTGCTGATTTTGTTGTAAGTATATTGTGTACATATACATATACATTTTTGTTGCTCCTTGCAAACTATTTTACTATGTACTAAATTTAATCTAACCTAGAAAAGCAACTTCTTTAGATAAAAATCCTATATTTTACTATTTAAATAAATATTTAATTTTTATAATTTTTATTTATATTTATGATTTCTGTTTGAAAGGCTCAAACTGGAAAAAAATATGCTACAGAAGCTGAAAAAACACTTCGTGAAGGAATATTTAAACAATCTTTAGAAAAAATTGATAAACATAATGCTGATTTTACAAGTGGAAAGAGCTCATATGAATTAGGTATTAATCCATTCGGTGATCTAAAATTAAATGAATTTGTTAGTGGAATGACTGGACGCAGAAAGCATACAGAGTAAGTTTTCATAAGAAATTTTGAAAAATTATTTATAAACATTACCATTTATAAATGCTTATTTCATAATGATTCCATCATTCTTGTATTTTTTTTAATAAAATAAGGAGAGGCTCAGCAACCACCCATAAAAATCAAGCTGGACCACCAGCCACAGTAGCAGTACCAGATTGTTTTGATTGGCGTGAAAAAGGTGGTGTAACTGAAGTTAAATTCCAAGGTAATTTTTAAGAACCAAACGCACACCATTACATATTATATTCTAATAAGGAAGAACTTTTTTAACAATAAATTTATACATTTCTTCTTAATTCTTAAGGTCTTGAATGTGGAGCTTGTTGGTCATTTGCTGTTACTGGAGCAATTGAAGGACATTGGTTCGCTAAAAATGGTGAATTAGTTTCATTATCAGAACAAAATTTAATTGATTGTGCTGTCGAAGATCCATACGGTAATACAGGCTGTGATGGTGGTTTCCAAGATTATGGTTTTGATTATGTATTGGATAATAGAGGTATCGCTGCTGAAACCAAATACCCATATGTAGAAGAAACTGGAAAACAATGCTTATATAATGAAACAATTAAAGCAGCTTCGATTACTGGTTATTCAATGATTGAACCTGGTAATGAAGAAAAAATGAAACAAATTATAGCAACTAAAGGTCCTTTAGCTTGTTCAGTTAATGCCGGTGAAGATAGTTTCCAATTATATAAATCTGGAATTTATGAGGATCAAAAATGTAATGAAGGTGAAGTAAATCACTCAATTTTGGTTGTCGGTTATGGTACCGAAAATGGAAGAGATTATTGGATAATTAAAAATTCATGGACCAATAAATGGGGAGAAGGTGGTTTTATGAAATTACCAAGAAATGCAAATAGTTTTTGCGGCATAGCTTCCGAATGTAGTTTCCCAATCGTTTAATACTATTACGTTGTATGCAAGTTGACTTTTTTTTACTTTATAAGTTCTTAAAATAATATTGTTTATTATTAAAATAAGAATATAAATTATGTTATAAAAAATTATTTTTTGAAAATAATTTAGTTTTTGGATGGTTTTTAAAAATCTAATCCGAAATTCATTCTCAATTTTAATAAACAACATTTTACCTTGAATATTTTATTTGTTTTTTATTTTTTACATAAACAGTAACAAGCAAGCCTATGTACAGGGTTTTAAAATGTAAGAAAATCCAATACTGAGATTTGAAATGATAACATGAATAATGAACAAATCATAATCTTTTAAAATTTATAAGAATTAAATGAAAAAAAGATAAGAAATGGACCGAAAAACAAAATTTGTTTACGCATACTGTTACATAACTTTTCATAACATGTCTTCTTAATTAATCTTATTAGATGCAATGATCGAGCACCATGGTTGATGGATACTAAGGCAATTGTAGATAACATTAATGATAACAGTAGTTTTCAAGGAGAAGAAAAAACATTTCAACACTAACTAAGGTAAAACAATAAAATAAAATTTAAAAAATTATTCTATCACGACTTTGAAACAGTCCTGGAAAAAATTTTTCCGCTTGGTCCGTGTGACTGTTAACGAAACCGCTACGCGTTTTAAAACAGAAAGCTAAAAGTTTATATACAAGTAGATCAACTATCGTATATTAGAAATTTTCTTTCGTAATGAAAAAAAATTTTACTTGTTTCCCCCAGCTCCAAAACTTTACTTTTTCAAAGTCCTAAAAAAATTTTAACTTCTAGAAGCTGAGAACAGTAGCGACTAGCTTCTTTTATCACGCAACAGCATAGTCAAATACTAAAATGACAAAATAGCCGTTGAAATTAACCATTGTCTAAAATTCATTTGTTCACGGTAATTATTTCGATGGGAAAACAATTTTCCTTCTCTATGCATTCCCAAGCTACAACTTCTTGAAATTTCAAAAAATTTGGATTTTGGCGCCTTATATTTCCGAATTTACAAGCTTTTCAAATTTCTATAAAAAACAAAAAGCTAACGGTAAATGCTATGCTACCAAAAGGTACGTAATTATTAATCTGAACTCACTTATCTAATCGTCGACTTCGAACACTATGTTAACACTTTCCTTTAAACTTTTTTTTCTCATCCTAAATGTATGCAACAATTATAAGTATTTTAATGGGTACATAAGTAAATTGATCTATTGTAACTGAATTTCAAGTATGTATTTTGCAATTGATCAAAGGAAAAATGGTAGTTTACACACCATTGATTTAGTCCGTATATATTTGATTATACCTAACGTACATTTTCTACTTTAATTTTATTCGAACCTAACAATATTTTTATTAAATAACTTTTACCAGTTTTTTTTTTTAATAAAAGGTAATATTTTCAATGTTTCTCAGTATGCAAATATGTATATCTTAATAGTTTATTCGAATTCGTAGTACTTATTACTTATGGATAAAACTTACACGAACACATTGTGCTTTTATTTTATTTTTTCCATATCCATTATATTTTGAATTTATTTCAGATTTCTTTGCAACAATTATAAAAAAATTTCCCCAACTCCTAAAATTTGGCGTATATATTTAAAAATGACAAAAACCTATAGAACACATATCTCACAAAACGAAAAATGATACATGTGACAATTAAGTACCAAACCGCTGAATTACTATTGGCATTGTTACACTATTTAATTTTGTTTTGAATGTAAAGTAGTTAAACCTATACAATTAATTAAATTCCTTTTAAGGTTTTACTAAAAAATTTTTTGAATATGTACATACAAATACAATTTATGTCAATAATTTCACATTTTATAATAAAAAACTTTATATTGCTATATATAATATATACATATATCATATCATAACGTAAAAATGTTAGGTAAGTGGGTGCAATGCCATAAACGTCTTGTAGGGGATATGATTTTATACTCGATTTCATTATGAAAGTCGTTTTGCAATAGTTTGCATTTTCGGCCATCGATGCACTTCTGTGTAAATATACATATTTGTGTAAAATTGAAAACTAGAAGTGAAACAAAACTTTTCAAACAAATATAAGTCGACCCGATATATTCAGATTTTTTCTATAATCGGTATATAATTATTTATGGAGATATCAAACGTCTATTAATTATATGAATCACTAAAGATATAGAAAAGTAACCATTAAAAATCAAAAGCAATTATGTTTCTTTTAAATACAGGTACTTGAACACCTTGTACGTATATACATAATTATGCTATACATTGTATATATTTCATTATATTATCAAAATAAGGAAAATTTTTGTATTTTAATAAAAATATATTCAAAAATTATTCAAATTCTATATGATTATCACATAGTTTGTTAATATGTACACTATTTAATTAAGAAATCAGAAAGATACCAACTTTTATGATTTGTTTACAAAGCTTTGTATTTATACTAATTTATATTAATAACCCAAATTTATATTATTAAAATCTTGTTTATCTGTTATACTAAAAAGTCTTAAAAAAAAAATATTTTGTTGTAAGTATACATATATAAGTTTTCAGTATACGTAATTTTAATGCAGTTAACACTTCATTACGGAACAGAACAATATTTTAATAACTTTTACTTTTAAGTATTTAATCACATAATTAATTGATGAAAAATTCTTAAATTACAGTAAATGTATTTGAATTATATTAGACAAAGGTTGTAAAAACAGATGAAAATACATAAATACACACAATGTAAGTATATTATTTTAATTAATATTCAATTAGCTATATATCTTAAGATATTCAAAAACGTAAATAAAATGTTATATAAAGGATTATAAAATGATTGAAAAAATATCAGATACATACATACTTACATATTTATTTAAGAATTGTGGGTAGTTCAATACGTGATGTTTCACAGATGTTTACGGAGTACGTGATATTCATATACCTTCATCTAATAATTCAAAACTTTTATGTTATTTTTTAATTTTTTCGTCTAATTCAAAATAGCATTGACCAAATATTGAGAGATATGATAACTTTTTATTTCTGTTTTATTCCAAATTACCTGAAATTATTTTGGACTGTCTAAATAAAATGAATGCTGGCATCTCTCGTGATTATTATTTTTAAGCCATTCAATTTTCAGTGGCTATAATACGGTATTACAAATACTTTTGGCAAACTTTTTGAAATTGTTTATTCTAAATATATTTCGAAAGGATGCTGAAATAAAATCAAATTCCAAATTTCCGTGAAACTCACTGAGGTTTATTGCTAAGACTTAAAAAATTAAGTCTTTTATTCTTTGCTTTTGTCTAGTTATATTGTCTGATTCCATGATAAATTTTTATCTTATTTTTTTCTTCAGAACGCTTCTTTTATATTTAAACTTCTTATACCTTATAAGTTCCTTGCTTTCGTCTCTAGAGTTTTTTAATATGCACCTATTACAGAATGTTGAATAAAATATATTAAATTAAATAAGTTTTAATTAATTAATAAAACAAAATTAATTAAAAATTAATTATTACTTGTTCTAGACGAAATGAAAATTTTTCTTACATTGTTCAACGTAATAACGTTGGTGTCGGCCACTATCGTTACAGATGCCGATTGGAAAGCTTACAAGGTAAAACATAGTATAATTTTTTTTTTATTTAGAAAATATTATGTTTTTTTAAAGGATAAATATAGAAAAAACTATTCACTAGCGGAGGAGGAGAAGTCCAAAGTTAATTATGCTAACAACAAAATTCACATAAATTTACATAATATAAGAGCAAATAATGGTCTTGTTTCATATAGACTGGAAGAAAATCAATACTCAGACATGTCAAAGACCGAATTTTTTGAAATGCTTGGTGGAAAAAATTATTCTGACACCACACCACCACCACAAAGAAAAGAAACTCCAGTTGTTTTAAAAAAATTATCAGATCCTTTTCTATCTTATAGGTAACTATTTTCAATAAAAAATGTACATACAATGTTTTGATTTTATAGAATATTTTGGTTTTGTTATTGGTGTGATAAAGAAACTGGACAAGGGATGGTGCTGGTTATGGAGTTTTGGATCAAGGTAATAATATTAAAATTAAATATAAAATTCATAGTTTTTTTTAAAGGACGAAAATGTAATGCGGCTTGGGCATTTTCTGCATTATCTGCAATAGAAGCTCATTATTTTCAAGTTGCCGAAGATCCTATGTTACCAAAACAATTATCAGTACAAAATCTTATAGATTGCGCTGGTGGCGCAAAAGCTTGTAATGGTTTACAAATACCAGAAACAGCATATGATTACATTGAGTTTCAAGGTAATATTAATACTGGAGAAAATTATAAATACACTGGAGTACAAAGTTTCTGCAAGTACGACCCAAATGATGTTGGTTTGGCAATTGGTGGCTTTCAAACAATAGATGAAAACATGGATGGAGCATTATTACAAATTGTCGCTTATGAAACACCTGTTGTTGTTGGTTTCAACCCATTTTCTTTTGAATTTATGCATTATAAATCTGGGATATTCGTTCCACCACAAAACAAAATTGATATTTACCATAAGTATTATATGACTGTCATCGGTTATGGAAGTGATAATGGTCAGGACTATTGGATATTAAAAAATTCGATGAGTAATTCTTGGGGAGAATTTGGTTATATGAGAATGATTCGAAGCAAAGAATATCCTATAACGAAATTCGCTTCATTTGCCAATGTGTAAAATATGTACATATCAATTTTTTTTTATTTTATGAAGAAGTATTAAAGTAAAAGTTTTTTAAATATTTTGTTGAAAATCATATTGTTTATTATATAATATTATTTACTTACATGCCGAACTTATTTCAACTCGCGGGTGGATGCCAGTTATCAAAAATTTTCTAAAATATGCGCCCATACATACATACTTATGAACATGGCTGTAAAGAAAAATTTTTTTTTAGAACTTAATATAAACACTCAGCGAAGGCTTCAAACTATTTTGAAACACACTGTCCACCCTTTTTGTAAATTTAATACAAAATTCTCACTTTGACAGTAGTTTTCACTGAAATTTTCAAATACAAACTGAAACTGATTACTTCTGCTGAATTCCCTTTTCTATAATATTTTTTGACATTTTATAACGTCTGCATAAAAAAAAAAGAGGAAAACGTCAACTCAACTAAAAATTTAAATGCAATTGAAATCGTAATCAAAATTTTTAGTTTAAATTTGATTTTTTCTTAAAATTTAGATAGTAAAAAAGTTTTTGTGAAGAAAATTTTGAATAATAATAAGAAAATATACAATTTTTTTAATACAGTAGATATGTAATTGCATGCGAATGTTGTCTCGTATTATTCCGTGAAAAGTATTATATCCTTATGCTTCAAAATATTAAAAGAGCTTGATTATGAAAAAAAGAGTGTACTATTAATATATTATAACATTTTGACATAAAAACGAGTGTATAATGTAAAAAAAATTAAAATTGAAAATATGTAGTTCAAATGTGACGGAAATTAGAGAATTCTCATTTTCTCAATAAGATTTAAAATTTGTTTTAATTTAATCAAATAGATCAATTATTTTTTCTCAAAAGATCATAAAAATATTATAAAATTAAATTATAAAAACATTACAAAATTAAACATGCCAATCAAAAACAAAATCAAATCAAAATAAAATGAACGGATCTGACGTACATGCATCAACTCAACTCATATTTTTATAAAAACCTCTTTAAATATTTTAAATATAAAGTATATATAAAAAAAATCTCTTTCTCTAAATTTATTTTAAAAAATAAAACATGCATTTTCAATACACAACATAAAGTCGAAATTCTTTGTACGCTAAGTAATGTCGCCAACAGAAATGTCAATAGAGCAGCTGTTTATCAAATGCGTTTTTGTTTTTTTTTATGATTTATTCCCCCGCCCTTCATTTCTGTGAATTTCTTTGTCTTTCAAACAAAAACTAGTTGTTTTTAATTAAGAATCGTAATAAAAAGTTTTCTTTTAGAGAATTTTGTAATTTGTACGTTAATATTAAAATATACTTTGAAAAGATAATACATAATATATACATAAGATTAAATTTGCAAAGCAAATACATAAATAAACTAATAAAATTTTCAGAAGTGCTTTTTGGAATAATAAAATCAAAAATATCGAGTAAGTTGAAAATATATGTATGTACATACTTTTATTGAGATTTAATAATGTTAATTAATAGTGATTTTGGTGAATTTTTTTATATTTTATTTTTATTACATCATTTTTTTTAAAAGCTTTATATTTTAAAAATATTAAGTGCCACTATTTTCAGTGGTAAATAGGTAGGTACCTACCTACATACATATATATTTGGACCTAAGGACATATTTGGTACATATTCTAAGCATTGATTAAGAATGTAAAATAAAATTAATTAAAATGTTTTTATATTTTAAATTTTATTCTTAAGCAATGATAATCTACACAAAACTTAAATTTAAACATGGTCATAGGTACCTACTTTTAGAATAAAAAATATAGGAAACAAAATCTTATTTCGCGGCAAGACTTCAATTTATTAGCGGAATCACTAAATATTTAGTTCTAACCTTATATTTTAAAAATGTTTTAGTTTTTTAAAACAAAGTCTAAATCCAGTGCAATAATATTATATACATACAAAAGTTAGGATATTTTTGTTAATTTTATTTCATATAAAGATAAATATATTAAATATACATATGTATTTATTTTTTTTTCTTTTAGAATAAATCATGAAGGCGATTGCTGTTATTATATTATTTGTTGCTGTGTCAGATGCATTGAATCTAAAAGATTTAATAAGAGAAGAATGGTTAGCATACAAGGTAAAGAAATTTTTTAATACTTTTATATTAGTCATCCTTTAATATTATTAAATTTTATTGAGTCATTTTAAATATGAAATAACACTAAATATTTTATAAATTGCTATCGTGTGCGAAAAAAAAACAAGTTCTTCAAATACTATGAAAAAACAATTTTAAAGCACGGTATTTGTTTTTTTTCTTTCAATTTATCCTGAATATGGCATCACACCATAAGGAATATTTGATTTCTATAAAGCTGTTCTTTTTTAATTCAATAAATCAAAACCAAAAACATTTGTAGATGACATATGTATATGAAATGCAATAGGGCCTTATTTATAAAATTTTACAAAATTTTTAAATTTTATACAAATAATTATATTTATGCAAACATATTGTAAATACAATAACTATAGGTACCTACTAACAATTTTAAATATTTTTTAATATCAAAAATGAACTAAAAGCCAAAAGTTCATGCAATTATAATCTTATACATTCATAACTTTTTCTAAACAACAGTATAAACCGAGTTTAAAATTTCGTGATAAGAATTGTCATTAATATTTTTGTACAATATATTTTAATTAATCATTCTATATTTTTAACAAAATATAATAATATAACTAATATATATGTATGTATGTGTATTGAAATGTACATAACATATTATAATGTTGTATCACACATACCTATAGATTATTAAAATATAATGTAAAGCCTAAAAATTTACTTGTAAAACTGTTATTTCTCTTTAAAGTGTGTTTCACATAAAAGAAAAACAAATTTATATCTAAAAGAAAAACATTAATTTTACACTTTAACCGTTATCGGCCACATATGAGTATGTACGTATAACGTATATTTTGTATTTGGGTGGTCTAATTCATGTGATCTATATTTCTTTTATTTATTTAATCATTTCCTTAAAATTAGGCCATTAAATATAAATTTTTTTATTTTGATATTTATATACATATGTATGTATAAACATAATATTAAAAGACGTTAAAGCATTATTTCTATCTTGCTTACAACGCAATTAATTTTGCTTTTCAGCGCAAATTCAATTATGAGTAACAAATTTTAAATGATACAATTCATATGTTATCAATTTTATAATTAAAAAAGATGTATGTACATACATACATATGTGCATATGTACAAGTGTATGTATAAAATGACTTTAGATTTCATCGTCCTTTGTTCAATTTTTAGAAATTGACTCACAATCTATATGTACACATATTGAATTTCGCTTTTTTTAAAAAATTTTGCTAAATTGTTAGTAATCAATTTTATAGAATATTTTAAAAGCATTGTCCCCTCAAGTATTTGAGTAAAAATTCAATACTTACATAAAACGATCTTATCATTTTGGAATTCTGTAAAGTTATTGAATTTCAAATGTAAGAAAAGCAAAATATCAATGTTTATTTTGATATATACATATGTATGTATAGTTTGATATTGGACCTAAAAATTTTGCAAACACAGTACAAATGTATTTAGAAACAAAACGATAAATCGAAGAAAACGTTTGTACAAACGAATATTTAATTGAAAAGAACTTATGATTGATTCAATGTTTTTAAACTACAGAATGTAGATATGGCACAATATCAATAGAATCTTTTTTTATTTTTTTTTATTTTGTTTTTTTTTCTTTTTTTTTTTTGCGATTCAAGCAATAATACAAAAATTTTTTAATAACTTCATAAAGCAATCATAATTTATTAAATGCAAACAAACACATAAAATTTTTCTTAAAAAATAAATTGAAGGTTTTAAAACAATAATATTTTTCATAATTTAAATAAATTATATTTATTATGTATTTTTTTTTTTAAATTTTGTTTTCTATACTTTAAATATTTGATACTTATTTCACTGCCCAATATCTATATTCACAAATTTTGGTTTGGTTCTACCTTGTTTAGCGTCAGTTATAGCACCCCATAATTCAATAATAAAATCATCAGTGAAACCAAAAGCATCCAAATCAGAATTATCCAACGCTTCCGCAAAATCCATTGAATTTGTTTTATTTTTTCCTAATTCCCAAATTTGTGTAGCTAAATCTGTATCATTAATACCTAAAAATGAATCCAACAATAAATTAATAGCATCTAAAGCAGCTTGTTCCATATCATTTGATTTATTGCATATTTCAACTTGACCATTTGCCTTAAATCGTAATGTTTCTTTACCACTACCATAATTTTGCGATGATTTACTTTTAACGCCACTTCGGGAATCTCTTGGCCCAATACCTTGAAAACCACTTTTCATAGGTTCAACCAATCTTAAAGTAAAAGTCGATCCCCTTGGAATATCTTTTAGCATTCTTGCAACCTCAAAATGACGTTTTCCAACAACGCTTTGTTCATTTATTTTTTCAATATGATCTCCAACAAGAATATGCTTCAATTTATCTATAATACTGTCTTCTTTAATACGTTTTATAAATGCATAGCCAACACCATTATCAGTAATTGTTAATCCCAGTGCATCTTCTGATTTAATTATTTCAATTTCTTTTGGTTGCCCTTTTCTGTGAGCAAATATAAAATCATCTAAGCCTATTTGGCCACCCAATAATTTTCCCATATCAATTTTATGGGTATTTAAAGTACAAAATATAATTTCGTCCGGTGTTATTTCATAGCATTCTGCAATTTTTTGATATAATTCTTTAACACTTGAAAATCCCTTAATGAAACCAGTTGGACTACCATGAGCTAATTGACAATGAAAAACTAATTGAGTTCTTGATATTTTGTTTGCAGTCGGTTGTTGTTGTTGAGCTGATTCCATATTTCTTTGACTAATATCTTCGTTTATATTTTTTAAATTATTGCTATCTAAATCCTGATGATTGTTATTTGCTGAATCATATCCCTGAGATTTTCCTTTTTTATGAAACAGTGGCATCCTTCAACGTCGAATTATAATTTAATTTTTTTTTTGTATGCAATAACTTGTATTATCGTGTGTAATAATTTTTGAGGCTTTAATTTAACTTTAATACTTAAAATTTTCTTGAAATTATTATTTTTATTTATGACGAAAGTACATAGTTACACATAATTTTTATAATTTAAAAAAATAATTTGAATATAATTTTTCCCAAAGTAAATTCAATGCTACCAAAATGACGAATCAAAACTAATAATATTAAAAAAAAAAAATTAAGTCTTTTCTTCATAGAATTTTGTTTGTAGTTTTTCTCTAAAGTTTTTACATAAATTGTACATTATCATAAACAAAAAGAAAAATTTATCTTATCAATAATATTAATTTTTTTTATTTCACTTTAATCTTATCACGATCACCATTTTGTAATGTTCTCCTTGTCTTTTTTTTTGTATTATTATTTATCTAATGATAAATTAGAAATTGTGTAAAGAGAAACCACGTCTTCGTTATAAAGAAATATTTTATCTAAAAAGTAGAAAAAAAAAAAACAAAATAAATGGTTTAATTTCGATATCTTTAATATCTAATATAAAATTACAACTAATATTTCATTGGTATGTCAAGAAAAAATAAAAAAAGAAAAACAATAGTTACAATTATTCTTTATTGTAGTTTAACATGCGGTATTTATTATTAAATATTGAGATCGAAGGTTTAAAAGCTTTTATAAAAGTATTTTCGATTTTCTTAAGATAGCAGTAATTGAGAAAATTATTTTTTTACGATAGAAAAATACTAAATTTTAATTAGAATTTTATAGTCATATTGTAAAAACTTACACCCCATGTTAAGATTAGAGTAAACACTTTCTGTACCCCACATGACAAAAATCTCATAGAAATTTTAATAAAATTATCACAAATTGTTATAGAAATTTCACTAGTTGGCAAAAATAGTTTTGCATGGCTACATACATTAGACGTATTTATTAAATATTCTTCCTGATTTTTGAAGTGAAATTTACCTTTGTGTTAATTTTAATTGTATGTTTTGCCTCTATTGTGCTGTTTTTTTACTAGTGTTACTTCATAATTCTTTTGTCTTTTTTTTGTTTTTTTTTCTTTTTACTTAATTCCCTAATTGTGAGAAAGACAAGTTTTAGCGAACTTTTACAGCTTTTATTTTATTAAAACATTATTTTTTATATATTAGAACAAAAAACACTTTAAGTAGCAATTTTAAGCGGAATCATAATTTATTGGAAAAAGTCCCAGTTACTTAGAAACAAAAAGGAAAATTTTACAATAATTAATTTAAAAGCTTTCACATTCAATTGCAGTTCTACCGAATCAAAAAACGAGTTGTTCTACAGTTTTTCTTTCTTTCTTTTTTTTTTTTTGAATGAAATGAATTTCTCCAATATAATTGCTCGACTTTGAATTTCACTTAATAAATCTTTTAAACTAAAATTAAAATATAAAATTTATGTTGTTTACCTGGCAAAAACAAAAATAAATAAATTATTTGTTTAATAGCGAATAATTTTTATTTGTAGTTTAATAAAGTAAATTAAAAAACGAAAGATCAACAATAGCACCGAAATTAATTTTAATATGTAGTATGTATTAAATTATTGACATATGTATCTAACTGATATTCATAAGAATGATATACGTATTAAATTTTAAAGTACTTATACCACTATTGGAAAAATTAACGATAGAAAGAGACGTAACAAATTTCTACTTTTTCTGCATTATGTGTTGGTGAATACAAAAAAAAATTATAATATGGATACAATATATAAACAAACAGGTGCGATATAAATATAAATATACCTGCTTCAATACAAATTATTGTACAAAGTAAGAAGTTAAAAATGAGAGTAACTTTTAAATTTTCGTTTTCTCACATAGATTGAGTTAGTGTAGAGTATAAATATGGTAAAGCCATCTAGTAATCATTGCAATTAACTCATTTAATTGAGTTATAACTTTTCATGCTATGTAAAAATCTATGTCCATATATGATACATAATATGTATGTTACCTATGTTTATCCATTTTTCAAAATTAATAAGTTTCCTTTTACGTTATAGGTATAATACTATAATATGTGCATATTTAACACAATATAGATATACATACATAGGTATATCACTATTCTGTTAGTCGCATCACTTGAGGTATAGTTTTCAGTATAAAATTTCAAATTTCGAAATTGTTTTTATTTCGAATAACTAAAATTTTTGAAAAACTTAATGGATCGTTTTTCAAAAATTCAAGTGAGGCAGGCGGCCAACAGAATATGACTTACACTAGTATTATGTACGATAAATTTTTAGTCTTGCAATACAATGATGAAAAAAATAACTAAAATAAATATTTTTTTATCAATGTCAGATGGAACATCACAAAAATTACAATGAGGCAACCGAAGAAAATTTTCGAATGAAAATTTTTTTGGAAAATAGAAATAAAATTGCAAAACATAATCAAAAGTTTGAACAAGGATTACATTCCTTCAAATTAAAATTAAATAAATACTCAGATATGTTGCCATATGAATTTGTTTCAACAATGAATGGTTTTAACAAAAGCAATAGGTAAACAAATAATTATATGTAATTGGAAAAATTTTTTTATTATATCAACTATTTTTTTTTGTTTTAGTATTGTTACATATTCTTCAAACAAAGAATCTGGGGCAACATTTATAAGTCCAGCAAATGTAAAATTACCGAATTCAGTCGATTGGAGAACAAAAGGTGCCGTAACACCAGTCAAGGATCAAGGACATTGCGGATCGTGCTGGTCATTTTCCGCAACTGGTTCATTGGAGGGACAACATTTTAGGAAAACTGGAGTATTGGTATCATTATCTGAACAAAATTTGGTTGATTGTTCATCAAGTTACGGAAATAATGGTTGTAATGGGGGAATGATGGACAATGCATTTAGATATGTCAAAGATAATGGTGGTATTGATACAGAAAAGTCCTATCCATATGAAGGAATAGATGATACTTGTCATTTCGAAAAATCTGCAGTAGGCGCTACAGATAAAGGTTTTATGGATATACCAGAAGGGGATGAAGAAAAGTTAATGCAAGCTGTAGCTGTTCACGGTCCAGTCAGTGTTGCGATTGATGCATCGCAACAGTCTTTCCAATTTTATTCCGAGGGAGTATACTACGATGAGCATTGCAGTTCAGATCAGTTGGATCACGGTGTCTTAGTCGTCGGCTACGGAACAGATGATAGTGGCACTGATTACTGGTTAGTTAAAAACTCATGGGGTACAACATGGGGTGATAATGGGTTTATTAAAATGGCAAGAAACAAGAACAATCATTGTGGAATTGCTACAGCGGCTTCCTTCCCACTTGTTTAATCTAATACCAAATTCTTTTTTATAAACTCAATCATTCCTTCACTTTAAGTTTTCCACATTCCTCATTTAAATATGTAATCTAATTAGTATACAATATAGTTACACATTTCCTTATCTTTTATAAATATAAGTTTGTTAATTAGAATAATTAAGATAATGTTTATTAAAATTCAGTTGATTCTATTGATATAATTATTAAAAACTTTCGTTTGTAATAAAATATTTTTTAATACAGTTTCATTTTTCTTTTAACTGAAATTTTGTTAAGCCCCTAAAGCCTCAATTTCTTCCTACCTTCCACACAGGAAAATCAACTGTATGACCAATTTAATTATAAAAAGTTTGAGCACAAGTTATAGAACTTTTCATAACTCTTTTACAAGGGGTAGTTCACAAAACATTTCTTTGTTCAGCTTTTAAGTGTTATTATATTGTTTTTGTTATGTATTCGGTTTGGGTTTACGGTTTATATGCGTATGTATTCTCTAACTTTCTAATAGTACATTATAAGATCATAACCACAACTATTTAATCCAAATTCACAATTATATAAAAAATTAATGGTAATTTTTTTTTTAAAAGAACTAGATACTTATGCGTTTGTGTTACTATGTAGATACTTATTTAGTTTTAATATTTTCAGCAAAATTAGAAAAACAGCTTATTAGTTTCGTCCCGTCTTTCCGCATGTCTGTTTAAAAAACTTTTACACTTTAAAGGTGAATTTTTTTATGTATTTTTTCAATTTTTTGAAATGTGTGAGTTGTGCAATAATCATGTATGTTTCGATATCGCGATATTTCCATTTGTATAAACATGAGGTATCGACTATTTTAAATGAATATTTAATTAATTTGATTAAATAATTAAATTATTTTGAATAGCAGCGAAGATTGTAGATTGCGGATTGCAAAGAACTAGTAACAGTGCACCGCGTCCAGAAGATATAGATCTATTGTGCACCCCAACTAGGTGTGGGACAAAGCCCTAAACCATCCCTCGAAACCCACCCTTCTGATGAATTCGAGCAACTTTGAAGGGCCGGTAGACCACAACTCCGCCGACGTGAGCACGTAGTTCCCCAGTACCTCCCTTCTAATGCGGGCGAAGGTCCCCACATTCTCGGGGTGTTAACCAATAGCTGTTTAGCAAAAAAACTCCTGCATCAATAGTAGATGTTTGATCGTGTCTTTCCTCTTTCAAACAATTTAATTTTGTCACGTGTTATTTTGTGGGGATGGATTTGTCAACTAAACAGAGCTAATAAACGATATTTTGACATGTACATACATATGTATGTTTGAAAAAAATCTTTGTATGTATTGTAAACGTGATACGCTTTCGAGTATGTTGTAAACTTTGTACCTAGGTTTTTTTTATATTAAAAGTATAATTGAATTAAACACCATAAGATTTGAGTTCTATTGCGTATTCTCTATCAAAACCTATATGCATATAAGCATATGTAAAAGTTCGACATAATATTATGTTTTACATGCATATGTATGTATGAGTTGAATATACGATGTCGAAATTCGCTTGAAGTCGGCTTCAAAAACCTTACGTAAAAACCTACGTAAACAAAAATATCAAAAGTATTTCTGTAAGCCGTGATATACTAATAATTAGTATATCACGGCTTAATACTCACTAATAATTAGTATAGTTAAATTATTTAACTTTTACTATCTCTGTCTGGTATAAGAAAGTTTTAAAAAACTTTATAAAGTTTTTGCATACAAAGCGTCTGGGATAATATTTTGTGAACAAAAATGAGAGAAAATGATGACATACTCATTTTCTCAATGTTTAAAGTTTTCTCAAGTTTTGTAAAGTAAAATTTAGTGTTTTAAAAACATTAAAAATCTTACAGCTGTCGAAATATTTATAAAGCTTCGACAACTATAAAGTTTTTCTTTGTTATGTCAGAAGGCTTTATTTTTCAAAAAAAAAAATTTCATCAACAACCATTTTTTTTCACACCTTTTAAATTAAAAATAACATAACCAAATTAGGTGTTCACAAATTGGTTTTCCTAAGCTGCACACGTTAATAATCCAAAATCAAAAGTTTCAGTTTTCGGTATAAAAGGTTTATCACATATTTATAAAGCTTTTAAAAGTTTTTTCAACATTTCCGTCTGTTTTTTTTTCTTTTTTGCGAGAAATTTCGCCATTGTTTCTTTTTAAAGTTTTTTCTAGTTTTATCCCAGACCTACTGTTTACTAATTTAACAGTAAATTAATTTAGATTACTTTACACGTATGTATGGTATATAATAATTATATTATGTAATTGTAAAATAAGTTACTTTTTTGGGTAATGCCATTTCATTAAAAGTTTTAGAGTTTTTACTTCTGTCAAAATTTTGCAAATTAAGTATATTGAGTGTGATATAATAACATCTTCAATCTTTTTCATGAATAAAAAACATTTTTAAGAGTATTTTTTAATTCAGAAGTAACATCTCTATTTTTCAATTCCACGGCTGACAGATTTTTGTTATGTCAAGCTTAATGCACACAAACCTTTTATACATTATGTAAATAATGTCAATAATTGTCAATCCTTAAACACGTACGACCATATGCATATGTTTGTTGTTATTCCTAAATTTTCTTGAAATGTTTCGTATTTTGTTTAGATATAACAAAAATTTTTTAAAATCCGTTCTTAAAGGAAAAAGATCATACGCTACAAATCCAAAGTTTCAAAATACTTTAATCATTGGAAATCATACATACCAGACAGATAATTGGACAAATGTTACTCCTAAAATTTTATCATTTATAGGATTAAATAAACATTTAAAAAAAAATCACCCTCTTTCAATAATACGACAAAGAATAATTAATTATTTCTACTCATCATATACCTCTAGTAGAGGTAACCCTTTATTTAGCGTGTACGATCAATTACATCCAGTGGTAACTGTTGAACAAAATTTTGATAGCTTATTGATCCCAAAAGAACATCCAAGTCGTTCAAAATCAGATTGCTATTACATTAATGATAAATATTTGCTTCGGGCGCACACTACTGCTCATCAAGTAGATTTGATTAGATCTGGTTTGGATAATTTTCTTGTGTGTGGAGAAGTGTACAGAAGGGATGAGGTAAGTAAATAAACATGCATGTACATATATACATGAAAAAATGGGTTATGATAAGTTACATAAGTATACCTACTGCAATGGTTCTCTAAATTTTATCTAATTAGCGCGTCAAAATTATTTTTAGTTTCCTTTTTTTGTGGTGAATTTATGATCATCCATCATGGTAAAATTGAAGAAACCATGAACCTGCCAAGCCATAATTTGGTTATATTGCATACAAAATAATAAATGTCCATTAATTTTATCGGTTCATATTTACAAATCATACTTTTAATTTTACGCTGAGTTTCAATTTTAATTTTTTTTTTTATATTTTAGATTGACAAGACACACTTTCCTGTTTTCCATCAATTAGACGCGGTTCGATTAATTACGCGAGATAAGTTATTTGAGCAGAATCCAGATTTAGAAATATTTGAAACTCATTTTAAAACCAATTTAAATCATTGCTCTCCAGTTGCTTCTTCAAGTTCCAAATGCATCGACCAATCCAAGCAACCATGTCATACAATGGAAGCTGTCAAATTAACAGAATTTGAATTGAAATCTGTTCTTTTAGGACTAGCTAAAGAATTATTTGGTAAAAATATCGAATATAGATGGGTTGATACATACTTTCCTTTCACCCAGCCATCTTGGGAATTGGAAATATTATATTTAAATAACTGGCTAGAAGTTCTTGGATGTGGTATTATGAGGGATGAAATATTAAAAGAAGCAGGAGTACAGAATTCAATTGGATACGCCTTTGGATTGGGTTTAGAAAGATTAGCAATGGTTTTATTCGATATTCCCGATATTAGATTATTTTGGAGTAACGATACTGGCTTTCTGTGTCAATTTAGTGAAAAAAATATTAAAATTTTGAATAAATATAAACCTATTTCTTCATATCCACAATGTGTGAATGATTTGTCATTTTGGTTACCAGAGAAAATTGAAGATCAATTTCATTTGAATGATTTTTATGATTTGGTTAGAAATATAGGCGAGGATATTGTGGAGCAGGTTGGAAATTACAAGTTATAATAATTTAGTTTTATGTTAGTTTTTTTTCTTTTTGTTAAAGGTGACATTACAAGATAAATTTAAACATCCTAAAACTGGTAGAGTCAGCTTGTGTTTAAGAATTATATATCGGCATATGGAACGAACATTAACTCAGGATGAAGTAAATCGAATACATAAAAAAATTGCGGATGCTTGTGTAAAACAATTCAACGTTAAAATAAGATAACTTAAATATAGCTATCCAAAGAAAACTAAATTATTAATTTTAAATATCCTTACAGATACATATATTTATGTTAAAGTATACAAATTTATGTAAATTTTTTCGTTATGATTAAGATTTAACAATTTACATAAAAATATTGAACTAAAATACAGTATTTGTTTTGGGTTGTATATTTTTCAAGAAATCTTCAATCTTTAAATTAAAATAGGCGTACTAATTTTTAACTCAAACTACATTCATACAATATTACTTGCTAATAAAGTAATAGAAACCTACACAGTCTTAAGTTACAATGGAAAATATTATTTTTGCAAAAGGAAATACTTTAAAGAAAAAGCACAAATTTTTAATTTTCAATTAGCCTAAATATCTATATACAATAACCATTTCATGGCTTTTTTTTATCAAAACTGTCCGTGATAATCTTCAGTTGTTTAATAGTTTTTATTAAGTCCATATTTAGATTTTCAATTAAACTTTGTGCGAGTTGGAAAAATAAAGGTAAAAATCACGTCCATGGATAAAAGTTACAAAAAAGTGTAGTTCCTATTAAAAAATATCCACCAAACCAATAAAGTAAAAGTGAATACTTTCTTTTAAAATTAATTTGATCGAATGTCTTTGGTAGGCAATCAGCAGCAAACCAAAATAAACAAGGGTTGGCCGAAGCTAAGAGTCTAGTACAAACTTGAATGTAAACAAACAACGTGCAAAAAATTACTAATATTAAGCAATGCAAAATAAATGGTAATGATTTCCATTCTTTTAATGTTGAACTAAAGCCATTTATATTAAAATGGGAATACAACTTTTTCATACATCTAAAAATATTTGTAAATAAAAACAATAAAATCGGAAAAGCTAGAGAAAAGTTTGGTATTTGTCTAAATTTGTAATATTTTAAAAAACCAAGATCCCAATAATGATTTTGGACATATGAATATGGAAATGGAATATTTTCATCACACCATGGTGAATTTGAGGAAATCCTGGGACCTGCCAGGACATAATTCCGTTGTTTTGCATATTCAATTATAAAGTGTGAATGTTGTACATCAGAAGACTGCAGACAGAAATTTTGAAACATAAAAAAATTGAAAATTGATAAAGGTATTAAGGCTAATCCTAAAATAGCAACTAATTTGAAAAGATCCCAAAAATTTTTTTTCAGGTAGATTTTTCTGAATGTAAAATATACAGGGTAACCAATGTTCAAAAATCCATTCGAACGGCATAAAATACTCAATCCCAAAGCAGCAGTAGTTTTATAAAATGGTAGATGATTTACACAACTTAACATTAGGCTAAAACTAAGCCAACAATAAAGCGACTCGGAGTAAGGTGCTGAGAAAAATATTGATGCTGGATTAAAGCAAAATAATACTACCGCCATCCATGATTTGTTAGGATCACCAAATATTCGTTGTGTTAATTCATATAAGCAATTTGCTCCCCGATGAAAAAAATACACGTTTAACAATATACTAACCACTAAAGATGCCGCTCTAAAAGAGCATGTATAAAATGTCATTGCTAGAGCAATTTTAGTACAATAATGTATTATTATTGGATAAAGTGGATAGAATGCCAAGTTATTTTCGTATGTATAACCATATTCTGCAATGTGCAAGAAGTATTCTGCATCCCATCTTCTAAATCCGCCAAAAAGAAATTCTGATAATTTATCTATGATGAAAGGAGTTGAACTCAAGGTTTTCGGAGATTTAAAAACATCTGGATTGTGATCTGGTATCAACACATTTGCAATAAACTGCAAACATATTACAATTATTCTACTTGATATAGCAAGTTTGGAAACTTTTCCATTTGCCATAATTGCGCAAATGAAATTTTTCTGACGTCATAAAACTTAATTTACATTTGAAAACTGAAATAAAATTCCACAGATTTGAGGTTTCTTTTCCTGTTAAACAGCAACTTCTTATTTAAGGTTAAATTAGCTGACCCGGCCTTAAAAAACATTGATGCAAATTAAAGCAAATTAAAGCAATCTATATTTCAACTTACTTGAATTGCAGCAAAGCTACCATCTATTATTTCAAATAAAAAATTTCAGATAAAATATGTTTTGAAAACAATGTTCGACATATTTAAAATTTTCGTAATAACCAACTTTTATAATATTCTTACATATGTATGAAAAAAAAAAAGTTGACACTTGGAGTATAAGTACTCGTATCGTACGTAGTTTGCAATAACATATTGTAATGTGATGTGATATACGAGTATTGGATTAATTTACTTTGCACGACACTTTAAACAAAAAGTGGTTGATTTTCAAATACAATTCACAATTTCAAATACTGTTGGAGCAATATTTTAAATAAATTTTAAAAATATCCTAGCTCCACATACTTATAAAACAGGGAGCTTTTGCACATGAAATTAAATTTTTTAAATTGAATGTTGAATATTTTTCAAAAGTTTTGAAATTTTTCATTTTTTTGCTTTCAAAATTAATTTTTTCCCGTAAAAATATATTTTGTATTGATAAAAAACAAGTTCATATCCCTGTCTGGAATAAAACTGAAAACACTTTAAAAACAGAAACAACGTCAAAATTTCTCGCAAAAAGAAAAAAAATTCGCATTTAAAAAAAAAAAATAAACTAGACGGAAAACTTGAGAAAACTTTTAAAAACTTTATAAATATGTGATAAACGTCAAATTTCAAAGTATTTATCAAACATAAACAAATATTTTTTGGTTATACCGAAAACAAAATCAAAATTTTATTTTGGATTGTAAATAAGTGTGAAACTTATAAAAAACCGTTTATGAACCCATTTTAGTTATTTTATTTTTAATTGAAAAATTTTGAAATTTCAATTGATATTTGAAGAAGATTTTTTTTTCACAAATAAAACCTTTTAACATAACCAAGAAAAACATATGTTTCAACAACTGTAAGGATTTTAAATGTTTTTAAAACATTAAATTTCACTTTACAAAACTTTAAACATTGTGAAAATGAGAATGTCATTATTTTTTTCTCTCCTTTTTGTTCAAAAAATATTATCTCAAACGATCTGCGTGCAAAAACTTTCTTATACCAGAGAGACCTATTATTTCGATTAAAAATTTTCATTAAAACAGAATGATTTTATTCCAGTATAGTTCTATTCATATATGTTTCTAATATGCATTTTTTAAGGAATTGGTTTTAATAGTCCCATCTCTTTTTAAGTTGTCATTATTTTATTTCACTAAAATAGTATATTGCGCGGCTGACGACTGATAGAAATACAGGTCTCGACCCTAAAAGAGAGTTATATTTCACAGCTGACAAATTTACACGTCTTTTATGGGATCTATAGAGAGCCTTTATTAATATAATAAATCTCTCAACCTTTTTCGAATTTTTAACAAGATCAACTTTTTTTCGAATTTTTAATTAGAAAAAAATAAAATTCAATCTTTTTCTTCTTTACTAGTGTAAAAATGTAAATTTTCAAAGTTTTGTGTTATTAAAACATTAAAAAATTTTTTTTTTATTGGTATGAAAAGAAAAGTTCCTTTTATTCGGAATAAAACACTTTTTTTTATTTTTGCTAATATATTTCGTGCGCACATACGCGTTTTATCAAAGCTGATTTTCTTCTCATACGCACTTTATCAAAGCTAATTATATTGGTACTACATTCACACAAAAAGCAGAGTCCAGACCTTTATTTTTTTTAATGTAAAGGTATAGGATAATAATCGGAAAATAATCAAAAATGTGCATCAATGCAACGTCGATGCAATAAACATTTACTGATGCTATACCGATGTGATGCGTTTACTTTGCTGATGCAATATTATTACGACATTTTTGGACACTTTCTAAATCGTACGAATCGTGTCAAAAAATAATTATTTTGAAAAGGTTTTGTGTAAAAGTATTAAAATCATTAATTACTGAAAATCTATTAAATAAAAGTTTTTAATTTCAATTAAGTTTTGGTGATTTTAATATAATGAAGCAGTTAAAAATATTAATACCGTGCATAAAGAAATAATTAACTTTATTAGCTATTGAGTTAAAATAATAAATTACTAAATCATTTAAAAAAAACTTTGATCAATACAAAATCACAAAAAAAATTGATGCACAGCTGATTTAATAAGATGCGCATACGATGCGTATTTTTGACATTTTTAGACACCAAACTTTTAAGTATTATCGTACTGATGCATTTTCGTACATGATTTTTACATGATTACACATCGATGCTGCATCGATTACTTTCCGATTATACCTATATTGCCAAAATCATATTGGTACTGTTTCTTTAGCCTAAATTAATTTTTAGTTTAATCGCCGCTCACGTAGAATTGGAAATTCGAATATTCTCATTAATTTTCCATAAACTTTTTTTTTTAATTTGTAGAAATCGCTGTTTTCTATGTCATTTGGCATGCAAAATTCCATTTGTGCGTTTGGCTAGAGTTAACTTGATTTCATTGAAACAGGATTATGTTTCGCTTTTTTTATGTTAATTTTAACTCAAACATACTTAAATTTTGAATGAATTATGTGAACATTTTTTTTATTGATTTACTTAATATGTAACAATTAATAACTAATACATATTACTCAAATAAATCTAAAGGGAAAGTTAAGTGTCAGTACGGTCTTTTTCAATGCATTCAATGTAGTACATATTGTACAAAAAAGACATCATAAAGCTTTAATTATTAGCATTACACTACATTTATCAATTTTGCAGAATCAATTGTAAAATATACTTACTAGGCAATCAGAAAATAATCATTATTGCGAGCTCTGAAATTCAACTTCAACAGATAAGTCATGTCAAGTTAAAGGAATTTAAATTTTAACAACAAATGCTGAGGCGCAATTCGTTTTGGGAAATCACCAATTTCAAATTAAGTTGTTTAATTTAGTAATTTCAATATTTTGCTTAATTATCTTATTAATTATGGGGTATGTATTTATATTTAGTTATTTTCTTGTATAAATTTATTTTTTCTTCAGAAAAAAAAAACGGATTTCGTAATTTTCCTAGATGTGATCAAATAATTAGTATTATGAAAAACCGAACATACATATGTATATGGGACGTAACTTAAATGCTAAGCATAACAAACCATTTAAACATGTTGGTCCTTTAAATTACACAGAAGATGATATATTGATCTACACATTATATATTTGTGGGCCTATCAAAAAGGTAAGTACTTACCTTACTAAAAAAAAATATAAATTAAGTGCACATTAATATAAAAAATAAATCATAGACCGATAAAAATAATTTGGAAAGATATTTTTCTAAGTTTGGCCAACTAGAAAACGTCAAAATTATTACGAAAAAGAGTTCATCTAGTAAGAGTGGGAGTTTTAATTTTGTAAGTAACTAATTTACATATGTATATAAATTAAAATTACATGAAATAGAGAATAAAATTTACAAAATGTTTTTTATAGGCTTTTGTTAATTTTAAGGAAGCTGAATCAGCTTCAAAAGCATTGAGGTGTAAGCATCACTACTTGGGCAGTGGAATTCTAACTGTTAAAAGTGCGGATAGTTATAACCAACCGTTTCAAAAAAAACTACAAGAACCTGATATAGAAAGTTCTGACAACGAAGAATCAAATATAAATTATTCTATCTTAAATCTAAATGATGATTGCATGCTCATTATGTTTAAATATTTATCTTTCTCGGATCACATTAAAATGTCTGTTCACGGTTGGACTATATATTCCAATTAACATATAAAACTACAAAAACTCTTTTTTATTGATTTTAAGGATTCATTAACGCTAATGGATTTCCGACAAGGTAAATAAAGATTATTGCTTAGTTGGTGTAAATACGACATTAAATATGTATTCACTTATGATTTCGAAATTCAATAGGATTACAGAAAATGGGTCATCATCTTGAAAATTTAACTTTTAGTTCTGATTTAAGTTCAAAAAACTGTACTCGTTTTATACACTTTGCATCTATGTTTTGTCCAAATTTAAATAAATTGCAAATGGATTCATTAACTTTAGATTACTACATTTTTCAAAAAATTTCTATTAATTTACAAATCATTCGTCATTTGGAATTACAAAATTGTTCAATTAATGACGATGCCATAAATATTTTTTCTAATATAACAACTATCGAATATTTGGATCTTACAAATAATAATGAATTATCTGGTACATACACCAATTTAAAAATCTTAAAACATTAATATTAAATTCTTGCTCAAATATAGAACCACAATTTTTTTCAAAAATGTGTTCTAAAATAACAAGCATACGGGAGTTAAATATTCGTCATTGTGACTATTTAAATACTTATGCCTTTAAATCATTAGTCGAAAATTTAAATTAATTGGAAAATCTTACAATATGTTCGTGTTATGAAACTAACGAACTTGAGAAAATAGCTGAATTAAAGAATTTAAAACATTTACCGATATATAACTAAGATAAACTAAGATAATATAGAATCGAAATGTTGCTTTTTAAATTGGTTGAAAACAAGAAAATCAGTTAGAAACACTAAAATTAACCAAGTTCAACTGCAGTGATTTCAAAGAAAATAACATAATTAAATTGGGGAACTTAAAACAATTAGATTTGCCATACGCCTCATGCACAGAAAACTTTATACAAGATTTATCAATGCTAAAGAAGTTGAAAATTTTAAATATACCTGGTGTATCAATTAGTAATAATTGTATATTAAAATTTATCACAAAGTCGCCAGTTATTGAATTTATTGATATATCGGAAAATATACATAGCCAGGATTGTGAAAATTTTCTCAAAAATATTATTGAAACTTTGAAAAACCAAAGTCGATGTAAACCATTGACCTTAAGAATGAAAATGGGAGAAGATTCAACAGAGCCTAAAGAAGAAGTATATTGCAAAACAATGTTATTTTTGTTTTATTACTTACACATATTTCATTGTTTTATAAACTAGAAATCATTTCTGAAAGAGAACGGAAATATTTTAAGAATAGATTATTCTGAAACAGATTTTATAATGAAACAGTTTGATTCTGATTTTCGTTTGTTTCCCGATGATCATCATTACGATTCCGAATTTGGTTATAATTGGTACCCTGGTGATAGGGACTCTAGCAGTGATTATGAAAGTACTTTTTGGTATAATCATTGGAGTAACCAGTGGTAAACTATGGTAAAAATTTTTGTATTTGTATAGCCATATAATAATTTTAAACGAGGTAGGTATATATGTCGAAATAATAGTATTAACCTGCCTAATAGCCAATCTTTTAATTTAACTTGTTTACGGAAAATCTCATTTAAAAAAATATTTGGTTATATTTTTACCGTAATTTTCTACAGAACTTTGGTTGTGGCTTGAGGTTGAATCTTTTAAGTTTAGAAATTTTATTCAAAATTTATTTGAATTTAACTAAGTTAATTTTTCATTTTATGTTTAGATAATCTGTTGCTGTATTTCATGGGAGTCTTGTGTTTAGATAACCTGTTACCGTATTTCGTGGGAGTTTTATTTTCTTAAAACGAATTAAAATCTTGCGGAAGGCTAGGTTTTTGAAAAGAAGAACAAGAAGGTAACAAGCTGACTTTCTTTTTCGATAAAATATGAATTTATAATTTTTTTTTTTTCAAATTTTCAAAATATTTAATTTTATGTAATAATTAAATATTTAATGTAGTATTTTTGAATAATAGAATACAAGTTGGGGATTTTATTACGATTTGTTTTATTTTTTTTTTAAATTATGATTTTATTAATTTATGTTATTTGTGAAATTTAATTTTTTTTCGAGTACATATGTATTGTTCTCGTGCTGTTCCGTACCGTTAAAAATCAAATAAATTTTTAAATCTGAGCCCTGTTCAAAAATGTAATGACATCTACTACATTTTCTAAATTTAATGTTCTCTATAGAAATGCTTAATATACCAAAAGCAGCCAATATGAAAACACAACTAACCAATATAAAATTGTTGTAACTTTCATTTGCATCTTAAATTACAAATGATATTGCTAGAATATAATATAAAAAAAACCCATAGTCAAAATACAGTAGCAATAAGAATTGCAATTTTGGTAATAAAACAACATGTACTAAGTGTTTTTGGTTTGGTATGTATAATAGGGAATTTGTATAAAACGTATGAAGTATGCATTTTCCGTATATTTGTAAGACACATTTAAACGATTTACTGGCAAAACTATGAAAGATAGAAGAAATCTTATATGGGTTAGCACACATTGTAGCGCATCAAAAAAAAAAAAACAAAAATTTTAACTTTGACAAGCTATATCTCGAAAACTATGTGTAAAACCTAATTAATTGTTTGACCGAAAGAAAAGAGCAATCAATTACGTGTAAAACAAGCCCTCGACAGATACTTTGCATTGTATGGTTCCGAAGTTATAAGCATTTATTTAAGGCTGTAGCTCGAAAACGAGTGTATCAGCACTCCCCCACCAATACGATTTTTTGTCGGAAATTGATCAAAGAATCATCTCTGAAATTATTTGAAACAGCCTATATAACATATAAAATAAATAAGGCAGTTTCTAATTTTTATGCATTTTCTTTTATATACATTACATGTATACATACATACTATGTATAATTGTGTATAACAAACATAATGTACAGTAAAACATGCAATATATCCTACCGTACGCCCAGAAAAAATTGATTATATTTTTTTGAGCTTCAGTATATTTATACTTAGCCGAATAGCAAAACATAAACAAAAAGGAAAATGTTTTCATTTATGTATTTAACTGACAATAGTAATATATATGTTTGTACTATAGTAAGAATATGTCAGCTGTAATTTAAAAAAGTTAATAATAACATTATAATATAAGCTTACACCGATGCGAAAAAAACAACATACTATAGTTTATTTTTCTTTGCGATAAATTCTCTTTCATGCGCAACAATTTATGGTGGATATTTTTGTATAAATTGTTTCAATAGCAGTATGAGGTGAAAATTTTTATCATATACGTTATAATAGAATAATTGAAATAATGTTATGTATCAGTGTCCCTCAAATTATTTATAATTAAATTCTATTTTATTTATTAAAGTATAATAATTATTCATTTTATAAAAAATAATACACATATATTTATCAATTAAATAAACAGAGATTCCAGGATTAGTCATACATATTTAAAATTTGGTTTAATATTTTCATCTCTGAAGATAATATTATTAATATGCATTTAAAAAGAACTTATTTATTGAACATTTTCCTATATGTAAACAAAATGTGAAATATTGTTTAAGCCATGTTTCCCCGTCCTTCTGTCGATTACTCAAAATAATTTAGTTTATCAAAGTATGCAGATGTTTGCCATAGTACTTTGAAAGTGATGTGTACGTGTGTACTATTAGAACCATTATGTTTAACAAAAGTATAAAGTATAAATTAGGTTATTTATTTATTTATTTATTTATGTTTAGCTCAAACATTTTACATAACTTAAAATTAAAGAATGCATATACAGATACATATTTTTTAGACAGAAACAAATTTTTGACTTAAATTTAAATTTAAAAATTTAAAAATTTAAAAATTATACAAAATAAAATTTATTAGTAATAATATTCCATTAAATATGAATATAAACAATGAAAAGCTAAAACAAGAATTTATTAAAATAAAGCAAAGGGTTATACTTAACTATAAGTAAATAGAAGCTTTTTCATCGTGTCTTTCTTCAGTGAAAAGTCAAGTCTGTGCTGGTGTTTGTTGCATAAACGCAGCATTCTGCTGACAGGTTCATGTTTCCCATAATTGGTCTTATGAAAAAGAATCATGAAAATATCCGGGAAACGAGATCTAAGGTTGGAATTAATCACATTTTTATTTAAAATGTCGGGGGAGATTAAGTCAGGTTTCATAAGCTGAAAAATGAATAACAAACCCGCGACGTCACGTCTTTTACCCAGTGTGGGTAGGTCAATTAATTTGAGTCTGTGTTCGTAAAGTGGAAGAATGCTGGGGTCTTCCCAAGGAAGAAGGCGTAGTGCGAACCTCAAAAATTTTTTTTGAATAGACTCAATCCTATTATATGTATGTATATCGTAATAGTTTGACCACACTTGTGAAGCATATTCAAGATGAGGACGGACCAGGCATTTGGTTATGCGGCAGTTGCTATACATCTTCAAAAATTATTCAATCTAATAAACAAATATTCAAGCTACAGGTGGAAATTTTGATGATTTTGTTTTATGTGAGAAGGTTTCTCTATAATCTCCAGAAACTAAATGAGGTATATAGAATGAATAAAATTCTGTCTGAATATAATGAAGTTTTTTGTGAATAACATTTATTTTTTCATACTTAAACTTATAAGCCCTGTCATTCTGCAACTTCTCCAAATATCTTTTTACAAATACGTATGCAATACATGCACACATATACATATATGTTTATATTATTATAAATACATATAAATTTTTTCCACCTCAACTGTGAAAAACAAAAAAAAAATTACTGTTAAAATCGTCATTTCCCCTTCAATTCATGATTTTCTATATTAATTTTTTCTATTCACATTAGCGTAGGTGAATTTTCTTTTTATTATTTTTTGCTTTTTCTTATATAAATTATGCATGTTGGAAAATACAACAGAGAAAGGAAACCGATTTGGAGAGAGCTTTCCTTTTTTAACATTTTCTCAATAGAAATAGTCTAATTTAGATTTTCGTCTAAACTAAACGGATTTCATTGTAAGGAAATAAAAATCTTAGTTTATTTTTGGTGTTCGAAAACAAAGGATTTATAAAATAAGTTTAGTAAAAAATTTTTACAATTTTATTTATAACAACATTTATTGAAATGAAGTGAAAATTTATAAAAAGAAAAATAAACAAATTATATTTATTTAAAAAATCATATTAGTATTTTTGAAAAAGAAAAAGACAAAAGCAAAAGAATCAATTATTAAAATAATTGTAAACTTTTGAGGAGAATATCATTTAAGAAAACGGTAAAATTAATACACATATTTCACCTAAATCAAAATTTAATTGCTTTATTTTTTTTTTTTTATTTTTATAACACATATTATGTATAAACCCCACCTATGATAATTTAATATACTATTAAATATTTTTGAGGATTATTTGTATCACAACTGTTATTCCACTATTAAAATATTAAACTATCATAATGAAATTGAGTTATTGCATGTCAATTACAAGTTATAAAATAGAATTGTGATTACCTTTACAAAAAAAAAACATAAAAATAAATTGCGTTTCAAAAAGGTCCTTTTATTAATAAATTTTAGAATACACCTTTATTTTATATTTTTACCGTTCTTCTTAGTTTTATAATGTACATAACATATATATGTATCATTCTAACCGTAATGGTCACTGTAAATTTGGAATATTAAGACACACTAGGAAAAACACACGATGTTTTCTTCTTTCATAACATAAGTTGGGCTTAAATTTCGTTTAAAAAAATATGAATATGTGCATATATATAACAAAATAAACCGGCAAAATTTCATACAAATATAGATGAAATATTTTCAGAAATGTTAAATATTATTTTCTGCACCAATCTATCTTGTTTTCACCAATTCTTTCAATTTTCTTATAGAAATCATAAATATCCTCTAATAACATTTTTCTGGTCCTTATTCATTTATGTTGATTTTTTTCATCTTAAACTCAGGAATTAACAATTGTGTTTCCAATTTGTATTTAAGGGCGCTTATAGCTTTAATTTTAATTAAAAAAAGGTAGTAAAAACCTAGTAACTGACACTTTTTATAAAAGATCAAAAAAATTTTTATTAAAATTAGCTTATTTGAGAATTTTGAATTTTTAATCAAAAATAGACTCAATGTCGATGTGTAACTTGCATGTGTCTGTGGCATGAGAAATAATTTTAATAATTTTAATTGACAATTCCTAACAATAGAATTTTAGATTTGTTTTTAAATTTACATAGTTAGAAAATTGCTTAAAAATAAATTGATTCAAATATAAGACATATTGTTAAAATGGCCTATAGTTATGCAATTTGTTTTTATTAGAAAATAATTCCCGTTTTCCTTTATTGGCATTTTTCAAATATTTATAACAGTGAAACCATAAAGATTTTTCAAATTTTGCAAACGCAGAAAAATAGTGGCTGACTTCTTCTATCACGCCATACCATACTTGAACTTTAAAAAAAAAATGGCTGCTAAAATTTACCATTACCTAAAGCCCGTTTTTTACCAAATTATTTTTATCGTTTTTCTTCTTGACCGAAAGGTTTAGGAATCTGAAATCTTAGCAGTTTTAAGACACTAATGACTAGTTCATTTCGTTAGAAATTTTTTTTTACCTCCACGACCTCTCAAGTTATTGTCTGACGAAATTTGTAAAATTTGAATTTTTGGCACCTTATATTTCCGAAACCGTAAGCTTTTCCAAATTTCTATAAACGCAGAAAGCTAAATTACATGCCACTAAAAAATATAATTATTTTCTTTAATTTCCGCAAATAACCCTTGAATTCGAGCATTGTTATGATAACGTGTCTTTAAATTTTTTTTTTGGTTTATTTCAAAGATTGTATACTTACAATGCTCATTCGAAAGGTATGCAATTTTTTAAATATATTCGTATATGAATGAAAGCAATTTTAATAATATAGTTAAAAAGCAGTATTTTCACTTGTTGAAGGGAAAAGTGCTAAATTACAAACCATTGGTTTGACACAACTTTATTAATGTTATGTAACTGTTACAAAATTGGTTGAATGGGAGATTTTTGAACAAGAATTTGGCCGATTAATGGTAAAAGTAACGAGCATTAATTTTGTGTGTATATTTTAAAATTAATTTTAAAAGTTTATGAGAATTTTTGATAATTTAACAATAGTATACTTGTATCTATTACAAATGTGTACATATAATGGGTTTTGATAGCGCTTTATTTCTTTATATTAAAAAGCGGTTTCGTAGTTTTTGAATTTTTGCTAAATTAAGGAATAAAGTTAGATAAGATCTCATACCATATATAATATATGATAGACATTTCTAATTTAATTTTTGTAGTTGTTCTATGAATAATGAATTTTACATAAAACAGTTTTTTAAAAAAATTTCATATCATAGTTCTACAGACGCAATTCTAGATCTAAATAATATTTGCTCATGAATTTTTAGCATATTTCATAAAATTCCTCGAAATTTAGTTAGATAACAATATGTGATCATATTTAAAATTAAACCCACAAAATTTTGATTTAATAAATAAATATATTTGTATGTTCTTGAAGTATGTGATTTCCAATAGGTAAGATACGTTCTAGTATTTTATTTCCGATGCAATAATCAATCACTTGGGTCATATATAGTTTCCAATAAATTATACTCGTATGAGTATAATAATTTTTTTTACTACTATGTTTTTTACTGTTATCTTAATATGTTCATTAATAATCATTTAATTGTATTTACCCTTTCAGTTGAGTCTTTAATATTATTCCTTACCGTTTTTGATATATTCAGAGATTTTATACTAAAATAATTTGTAAACAAGTGATGTATTTGAAAGCTTTTGTAACATTTTTTTTTGTTTTCAAAATAGTGACGTTTTATAACGTTGAATGAATGTTGATTTTTGTTTTTTTTTTTTTTTTTTTTCGTAAAATGCTTAGACAAAAATTGAATAATAATAACAAACTTAATAAAATAAGAAACAACGAGAAAAAATAGAGTTGACCGTGTAAACTCTGTGATACCCGTACGAATTTGTTATCCTATTTGCTAATAAATATGTTATGTCATAGCTGACTACAGGACTGAAAATGACTTTAAGTTCCTATATTACTATATTAAATTATGCAAAATTTCAGTACTGTATATGTTTTCAATATTTTCTATATTACTACCACCCGAACCAGTGCTCCGATCATGTCCTATTTAAATAGGGTTCTGGTATTTACTATAGTGGTTCTGGTATTTACTATATTATATACGTTCGTACGGGTATGAAAATTCTAAATAATAAGGAAAATATTTACAGTGCACGAAAACAATTGTAATATTTTTCAGGAGTAATTTTACTTTGTTTTCATTTTTGTTTTTAGAAATTAGTCAATTTTAGTTTGATTATCATGTCGATTTCATTTAAGTAATTGTTTCATATTCTTTAATTATGGATCTCTTGTTTTCGGCCACCTTTTTAATTACTTCAAATCCGTGCTCTAATTTTTGTTAATGGATATATTATTTTTCAAATTTTCTTCTTCCTCGTGAAAAATGCTTCTCTTGAAAATTACATTATACGAATCTAAAGATACACACTCACTTTCTGCCAACTTGAACAGTATAAAGGGAGAATAAAAATCGGACTATTGATACGGCTAAATAATTTCAGACAGACGTACAAACTCATGACGGTCAGTATCACAACTTAAATCTTACAGGTAGAAAAGAGAACTTACAACAATTCAATAGTAGTAAATTGATATTTTTATTTAAAATTATTTGAAAAAAAAAAGAAAAATCTTGATATGAGACTATCAATGCATATCAAATTATTGGTGTCAATTAAACTGTTATGCGGTAATAAAACATTTTAATTGGACCACAAAACCAATATACATATATAAAAATAATAAACTATATAATAGCTTTGACTGTTGTTGTTTTTAATATTAAAAATAAACACTAATTTCGATAATTGTTATTGAAATAACCCTATTACTATATTTATACACTGTAATTATTTGGTAAATTTTTTATTGTAACCGATTTATAGATTTTCGGACGTTCAAAAAAAATAAAAATTCATTATTCAAACATACTTTCACATTACTATTAAATATTTTTTGATTTACAAAATATGTTATTATAATTTTATTATATTGATTAACATATAGGGTGACCATTAGTTTCGGTATTTTTAATTCATAATAATATTCCCAAATTAAAGTTCTGTGTAGTTCCCAAAGTATAATCTAGTTTGTTATTTAAATTTTACTATATAAAAGGTAAAATTATTATGATTTAATTTTATAAAATAGATTTTTCTGATTTATAATTATTTTCTAGTACTATTTATGAGGTTACTATTTTCTTCTTAGATTACAAAAAATGTTGAAAATGGTCTTAAATATGATGAGCCATATTCATTTTCTTGCTTAAATATTTGATTTTTTTTATATACTTACATATATGGCGTTCCTTTTCTGACTAATAATTTTTGAATTAGTCTGAAATTTTAGTTTTAAAATGACATTTTAAAGAATTTAACGCCATTAAAAATCTTTTTAAAAAATAAATAAAGAATTAAAAACAAAATTACGCCGCACTTATTCACATATTCTTCAAATGTGTGTATGTACTAGATGCTATCCGTTCCGAATACATTATGCGTTAAAAATGGTCAGTCTGGTAAAATTACACAAATTATACAAAATTTTCCAAATATGTACATTCATATATATCCATATATATAGCATCCACATTCATATATAGGGTATACTGTATATCAATGTAGACATGTACAATTAATATATTTTATTATGTTAGGATCCACCAATGTCATTCAAAACATTCTTTATCGTTAACTGGGTTTATTTTCATTCATTTTTTTATAGTCCTCTAATTTTGACTTCATATATAATTGTGAACTTGCTATTTTTGACTTCATATATAATTTTTTATATATAATTGTGAACTCCTTGTTGCTTGAAACAAGGATTAATTTTAAAATGGCTCTAAAATTAATGTTTAATCTGCAGTTTTAAGCATTTTTATAATAGTAGTAATGAATTATCTTACATATTTATATATGTATGAATGAAAATAGAGGTCCGATGCAAATCAAACGTTATCATGTATTAAACCTGTGTTGTTTCTGCGTTATCGTAAGTCAGATTTCTCAATTTTATATCAAATATAAGACTTTCCCAAATTTGCCTTAATCCAATCGTCATATTTTTAACGCACCCAAAGACATTAAACTACTAATT